CTGGACCTGGGAGGCGCAGGGGGCTCGGGGAGGCGGGGGCGGGGGGCGAGGCAGGCGGGGGGCCGGCGAGGCACTCGCTAGGCCCGTGGCGTTGGCGATGTCAGGGCTGTGGTGTCCGAAGCTGCCGCTGTGGCTGGTGGTGACGGTGCTCTGCCTCTTGCTGCTCAGGCCCACGGCGTCCATAGACTGGCTGCGACTGCGGATCACCCGCTGAAAGCAGGCCACGCTGAGTTACCCCTGCCCTCCCCACGGTGCCCCCTTGCCCTTCGGAGCAGGGACAGCGGGGCTCGGACGGCCAGGCTCGCCCCAGGGCGGCCTGGAAATGCGCAGAGGGGCTGGAGCCCCAGACCTGTGAAGAGGGCAAAGGGCGGGAGAGGGGCTGCCTGCTGAAGGAAGGGGAGGTGGAAGCGCGAAGACCCCCAGGCGACCCCGAGCGCCTCCGGGCACCCTCCCCGCCCTCACCTTGAAGGACTCGAAGAAGCTGCTGCTGCCCCCGCTGCCATTCTCCATCTTGTCGTCGTCGGCCCCCAGACCCATCATGGACTGGCTGTTGAGGTGCAGCTCCTCGTAGAGGGTCTCCAGAAGGGCTGCCCGTGTGCGCTCCTGCCAGGACAAGGGGGCTGTTGAGCCGGGCGGAGAGGCTGCGGGAGGGGTCAGCAGGCAGAGGGGCAAAGAGGGGGATGGGGGCACCCCCACCTCTAGCAGAGAGACCCCGGCCGGGCACAAGCCAGACAGAACAGAGAGGCTCCGCTACTCACCCCCCCCCCCAAAACTCACTTCCAGTTTGGCAAACTTCTCTGCCTTGTAGCAGGCATATTCCGCGTTGATCAGCTTGGTCAAGAGGAATTCCTGGAAGTCTGGGCCCTGGACGAGGCACGGCAAATAGAGGTTGCAAAAAAAAGAGGCTGGTTTGGCTGGGCACCAGGCCAAGATTCACCCCCGGATTCTGCCTGTTGTACGAGGCCAGCAGTGGGACACCTCGCCTGACTTTCCTGCAGCAGCCCCCGGGCCCAACTGCCCGCCCTCCAGCATTTCCCCTGCCAGAGGAGAGCGCCCGGGGTGCCCTCAACGGAGCAGGCCTGGAGGGACGGGGACGTCCTCACCTTCTGGAAAACCGCTGGGTTGGGCAGCGGGGGGCCGAAGAAGGGGACGTCATCCCGGGCGGTGACGGAGACCTGCAAGGGACAGGGGGAACATCTGGCACGGGCACCCCTAGCACCTGGGGCTGCCCCCTTGCTGCCGGACACGGCCCCCGTTGAGCGGCTCCCCCCCACAGCCCTGCTGCCCGGAAGCCGTGCCAGCCGCCCCGAGTCACCTTGTAGAGGGTGTTGTCGGAACAGGGGTTCTCGGCTTGCACCACCACATAGGCATGCAGGAAGTTGGAGGCGATCATGTCGGGGACGAAGGGCGTATTCTCGTCCTGGAAGACGATGGCCACGATGTCGTTGCCAATGTGCCGCTTCCGCTGCAGCTGAGAGGGAGAAGCGGGTCAGCCCCACCCGCAGCTTGGGGGAGGCGAGGACAGGGGTCCTCTGCTGCCCTACCTGCTGCGCGTCACCTTCCGTGTAGGGCAGCTTCGTGGAGACGTGGAACATGATCTCCTTGTTCCGGAAGTTGCAATAGACGGATTCCGTCCCAGTCTGTCCATGGGTCACATCCAGGCCCCCCCGAAACCTGAGCCCAGAGAAAGAGGCCTCAGGCGAAGCCCAGCGCCTCCCCTCCTGGGGGGGGCCGACACACGCCACCCCTGATCCTCCCCTCGGCAGGGGCTGGCGTCCGTCCCCCGGACTCCACTCACCCCTTGAAATCCTGGAGCTGGACCTTCTGCCCCAGGAACTCGAGGAACTCCACGAAGGCCGGACTTTCCTGCGTGGTGCTGAACAATTCCTCTTCCGATGTCTGCGCGGAGAAAGGGAGGGGTGCCCAGGGCAGCCGAGGGGCACGGAGGGACGGGCTCAAAAGCTCTGGCCGGCTGTGCTCCGTGAACTGCCCGCGACAGCAAGCCTCCTGCCGGACCCCCACTGGGGACCGCCTGCAGCTCATCCTGCCTAGTCGTGCAGCTGCATCGGAAGCTCCCCCAACACAACCCTCTGTGTCCTTGAGGGCACCGTCCCGTTGGAGGACGCTGGCATCTCTCAGCAACCTTCTTCCCACAGAGGTTCGGCTGCCAATGGCATTGCCGGGAAAGGGCCAGGCAGCGCAGAGGCCTCGCGAAGGACGGAAGCGTCGCAGAGCCAGGCTTCGAGGGAAGGGGGGTCTCTGCACTGTGCCCTGAGCCCCATCTCCATTCCTTCCCCTGCCCTGCCCTGCCCTGGCCAGAGGCCTCCTGTCCTCAGGCCCCCCCCAGCCCCCCTTCCCCCTCACCTGCTCCCTCTGGGCACAAAGCAGAGACTCACCTGGCCAAGTTTCTGGTAGATGACCCCAAACTTGAAGTTATTGCTGATGACGTGCTCGTCAAAGGTGACAATCAGGCGGGAGGCCTGGGGGCAAAGCGAGGGGAGCGCTGGATAGACCTGTGGGGTGCTTGGGCGGCTCGGGAGGGGCCTTTCGCATCGGGGATGAAGGGAAGCGCAACCCCCCACCCCGTTTGCGGTCCTACCTTGGGATACAGGACAGGGTAGAAGCGGTCGACGTTCACGTCTTCACAGACCAGCTGCGGCCAAGGAGAGGGAAGAGACCCTGTGAACACACCTGCCCCCTTCTGCCCAGTGGGGGGACCGGCCTGCCTCCCCCCCCCCGAGTTTCTTAACTGCTCGTGGTGCTCACGCGCTTGCGTGTGCCCTCACGCCGCCCTCCCTGCTGGCAACCTCACGTCGACTGGAGCAAACGCGGGTGCATAAACTGCCCGGAGGAAGCGCCCACCCTCTGGCTGATCCAGCTCTCTTGTGGGGAGAGAGAAAGCGGGGGCACGTCGTCCTCGCCCCCGGCCCCCGACTTGCCTTGGCCATCTGGACGACGTTGGGGAACTCGGTCAGGCAGGAGATGGGGATGACGTCGTGATACGACCGGCTCTTTGTGCTGCCGGAGAAGGCGCAGAGTCAGGGCCAGGCACGGGTGGAAGGGCCCACGCCGGGATTGGAGGGGGGGAGGGGGAGGGA